AAGAGCTAAATGTTTAAGGTTTAAAACCTTAGTCTTCAGTCAAAATTATATATATTGAGTTTAGCAGAGTGCTTGCTTTGGAATAATAAGTAATGATGGCTCCCATTTCCTCTGTCTTCAATTACAAGCATCATCTTATAAAAGTGTTGAATGTGCCTGATTTCCTGGTGTGAAAAGAATGATAGGAAATTCAAATGCAGCTATAAATACAAACACCGGTTATTGCTTAAAGGGCACTAAAAGCCTACACTCCCGATAGATCCTGCCAGATGAAGAAAGAAACCTAGTTTGCTCACCCGGAATATAAAGAAAGAACGATTCCTGATTTTAGTGAATGCTGAAAACATTTTTTGTCAGGTGACACACTGAAGCGTATATGAACCCCTTGTTTCTGAGACCACGTCTGCCAGGAGGAAAAAAAATAAAGAAGCCAGATTGCACAGATGCCTCCAAATATCTTTTCATTTTCCAGGTATTTATACTTCATTCTCCACTGTCTACTGTGGATATGTCATTTCTTGTTTGAAGGAAGTTACCTCATTCTTAGCCTTGGGCTAATATCAGCACCTAATCACACAGGGTGGTACAAAATAGTCCAGGGTTGGGCGCCTGGGTGGCTCAGTCAGCTGAGCATCCTACTTCAGCTCAGGTCATTATCTCACGGTTTGTTGAGTTCTAGCCCCACATCGGGCTCTGTGCTGACAGCTCAGAGCCTGGAGCTTGCTTTTGATTCTCTCTGCCTCTCAAAAATAAAGAAACATAATAATAATAATAATAATAATAATAATAATAATAATAGTCCAGGGTTCCTTTCTAAGAAAATGGTACTGTGATCGGTGGTGCTCTCCAGTCTTCTGTCTCCGAAGCTGACAACCTGCTCCACTCCTGTCAAGAATCACAGCTCCCCTGTCTCAAGGGGAAGGCCGCCATGATTTAGGCATACGTGATAGCTAAGTGGCATTCAAAAGCCTCATCTTTAAGTTCTTAGCATTCATTGGGCCCTTTAAAAAATAACCTTGTTCTTTTCTTTGACAGCTCCTTTAATATGGGAGCTCATAACAGGTCTTCTGTAGCTGGGCCTAGGAATTGACAGTGTGGTCACATCTCCACGTAGCCTTGTTAAGTCTTCACCCACCATCACCCAGAGTTAGCAGTGGAAGCTTTGGGCTGCCACTCTCTTCAGCATTAAGCCCTTCCTATGTCATTATTGCCATCCCCATGGGATCAGGCAGTCTGAATACTAGTTCTTAATTTGGTTAATAAGATGGCCTTAAAATATGAGCCTTGAAAGTGCCCCCATAGTTCCATCCAGACCACGAGAAACTGTCTTGAAAACACAGACTTGAGATAATCCTGGTTGACTAAGCCCTGGCTCAGCCTTTGCAGAATAGGACTCAGCACGTTCCAGGATATATGTTATACACCATATGGTCTCAAGAAAATCTCAATTTTTGGTCATGTCATTCTTACTGTCTACTTATTTATAGCAAAGGGAAAATTTTCTCTTTAAGACCCATCAGACCCATAATAAAATGGGACAGTTGCCTCACTGAACTTTTCCTTTCTCATTCCATCTAGTTTAGTTCTGCTTCTGTTTCCACTTCAGTTAGTTTATTCTGTGATTAGTCTTAGAACAAGTGTTTGGGGTAGGTCCAACATCCCCAGTGGTGGTCCAGAGTTGCCTGCTCATTTCAGTATTTCACTTTTGTAAAAAGGCATTTACTATACTCCAATAAAAATAAGGAATTCAGGTGGTTCTGAATCTAGTGAGTATATTATTAATGTTCTCTAAGACTCCCTCAAATAAATATTAAGTTCTTCCTGGAAACTGGGGTCATGATACTTTTGTTTCATTTGATATTGACTCATGAGATTATTTGGTGCAAGGTCTTGCTATTAGTTTCCCTTTGAATGTACAGAACTACGATTACACAGGTACGGTCATATCTGAATGTGTAACATTACAAACAATGGAGTGCCTTACTGGCTCAATATGGTTGAATGCACGTGTGTCTCTTTCTGGACTCACTGTTCTGTACAGATCATCTTTCTTCCTATCATGGCATCAGTAGCACACTATATTAATTACTGTAGCTTTGTTTTATATCTAGGAAGTGTAAGTCTTCCAAATTTGTTGTTGATCTTCAAGAAGAAATATCTCTTTGCATTTCCACATAAGTTTTATGCTTGTCAATTTTCACACATTAAAAAAAAAAAAACAAAAACAAACTTCTTGAGATTGTAGTTGAAACCACCCTAAATGCATGTCAATTTAGGGAGAAATGACATCTTCACAATGCTGAGTTTTCCAACCTAGAAACACAGAGTATCCCTTCACTTTTTAAGGTTTTTATTTTTCCTCAAGCATGTTTCATAATTTTCTGTACAGAGATCTTGTATAATTCTTGGTAGATTTATATCTATGGATTTGACTTTTTGCAAATGATTTTTTAAATTCCTTTTTTCTAATTGATTATTACTGGTATACAAAAATAAAGTGATTTTTTTAAGACTTATGTTATATTCAGTAACTCTATTAAATTAACTATTAATTCTAACAGTTTACCTGTAATTTTTCTGTATTTCCTCCATTCATGTCACAGGTAACTGTTTTTAAAACCGTTTTTAAAAAATTATTTGTGGGTGGGAGGGGGGCTAGATGGGTGATGGGAATAAGGAGGGCACTTGTGATGAGCTATCGTATGTAAGTGAAGAATCACTGAATTCTACTGCTGAAATTAATATTTCACTGTATGTTAAGCTTTAAATTAAAAAAATAGTTAAACCCACAGAAGTTAATAAAGGCCTTAACCACAAGAAAAAAGAGATTCTTTCTCTCTCTGCCCCTCTACTCCACTTGCGCTCTCTCTAAAAACAAACAAATAAAAGAAAAAAAAAAAGAATTGATCTGTAATACTCTAACTCATGTAGCTGGCAAAAAATATTATTTTCATGTTAGAGCAGTTCACATATAGAACTCAGTATTTTAGATTAAAACTGTTCATGTTAGATCAGAACACCTACTAGACTATTGGCCTCAGCACGGAAGAATACAAATGCACCCAATATATTAAAAAACATGTTTATTTTCTCAGAAGATCAGGAAATACATATTCTGTAGGCACTACTCCCCTACCTTACCACCCCTGCCCCCTGCCCCGGCACAGAGAAAAGAATGCTGGCTTTGGCCAATCTATATTTCCCTAGTTCTTTCTCTTTAAGCATGAAAGACAAGAAAAGACTGGTTCAAATGACATATTTTATTTGTCTCTCTGGACATTATATTCTTCTGATATCACCAGTGATGATATCTCACATGACTTCTAGAAGACTTCCTCTCCCCACTCCCTTATCCTCTCTCCCAAATCGCCTTCTTCCTAGGGCTACCCAGAAGCTCCCCGTGTCCAGGGTAGGTCACTTCTCACTAAGGAGACTTCCCTTGCTCACAGGGAGGGAGATCTGAGGTGGCAAGCGGGTCTGGTCTGGCTGCATCAGACGACAATGGAGACTGAAAGAAGACCCAGTCCACCCACTGTCAGACCCACCAGAACAACGGACACAAAATAAAGCACCAGGGCCTCTGGTTCTGTCTTCAGCAATATTTATTGGAAACGGCGATGCTTCCTGTGGTAAGAGGTTTATACATTAAGCAGTAAGATTTGCCTTTCACTCCACATGACCCACTACCGCAGGCGGCACATCCGAAGCAGCACATTAAACCTCTGAAAGAATCTGTACAGCTAGATAAATAGAACTCTGGATACCTAACAGGACTTAATGACTGATACCAAAAAAAAAAAAAAAAAAAAAACCCAGAAGAACAAAAAACCACTCATAAGCTTACACACGGCACTGTACACACAACACGAAGATGGAACAGAAGGGACAGAAAGAAAAGTAATGACTGAGTTGGGAAAAACTTTTGCATCTGCAGCCACACATCTTACTTAAACTGCTAAGCACAAAAATCATCTTTATTTGGTCCTCATTGAGGGCAGAATATGCACAAATGATGTTCAAAGAACACAAGGTGGAAGTGGAAAGGAAAGACAATTGCTGTTTCTTGGTCTAGGGACTAGTTGAAAAATGGTTTCTTGTGTTTTTCTTTTGTGTCTCTGTGCCAAACGGACTCATGAAACATGTAATTCATAAATAAAACTGAAGTGAAGTGATTTTTGTTCCCTCTTCCCTGTACCTTCAGAAATGGCCTAAATATATACATCGTTTCTCTGCAGCAAGAAATTTAAGCTTGGAAACCAGATGTCTTCCCAATTCCTCATAATGGAGAATCTCTTCTCTTCAGCCCCTCTCACAATATGCTGATTGCCAACTGTCACCGTAGTACTTAGAAATAACAGCGGGAGTCCCCCTCTGGCTTTATTAGCAGGGTGAGAAGAAAACTTGCTGTCCCTCAGAAACACGCATATGTGAGAGGAACAAAGGTGACAGTTTTCAGAAAAGGTTTTTAACTCGCACTCAACACTTTCCTACCTATAGCATCAAGGGACTAATTCATTCAGATCAGAAGACAAGTTGCTGGTGAGGGAGGCTTTCTTCCACAATTCTGTGACTCACATATTTGGGAGGGGCAATGTGAAAGCAAGAACTTTCTCCTATTGAAAAGGAGAACCTGAGACCTTGAGATGGCCCCTGGGTGATAGACAGTATCTTCAGTAGGATGTTTTTTCTGTGATGTGGCTCGTGGTCATATTCTAAGAAGCCACAACCTCATGAGAACTGTGTAAACAGCAGTTCCATGACTACTGGCTGGTCTCAGATGGTGTTTAAAAAGCACATGCCATGCCCACCAGCCTAAGAAGATACCACCCATCACCATGACTCTTGTGGGATCACACAAGTCAACCAAAGATACTCGGTGGGGCTTGATGACCTGGACCACTGCGGCCTGCACTTGGGATGTGTTGTAAGCAGCATTACCAAAGCAGTGGTTAAACTTAACTATCTGGGTCAAGAGGAGGTAAGCCTGCCAGCCTAACATCCTAATGAGGCAGGGCAACCAGAATCTCCACATAGTTGATGGGGAAGAAGCCTGACTGGCCATGAAGCATCCCCTCATACCAGTTCTCATCAATTTGGTTAGTGAGTGTGATGATATCACCCTCTTTAAAACCCAACTCCCCTTCATTTTCAGGTTCAAAGTCGTACAGAGCTCGGCAGCAGGGCTGATCCATTGGGGCACCTGGAAGTGAAAGCAGGAGAGAAGAACACAGAAAGACAAGGGGTATTTAAGTCACATATCTACCACCTGCTGCACCTGCCCGGCTTGCTGTCCCCCTTGATTCCTCCCTCACTCCTCTTCCTGCTGAAGCTTCCTCTTGCGGCTCATGCCGAGTCCACTGCGTGGCATCTGCTCTTTACCAGTCTTCAGAAGCTTTCTCAGATTTCTGGAAGTTGTTCGATGCCTGCTTCCATGTCCAGTATGAAAAATAGCCTCATCTACGTTTGTAACACATGCGCCACAGTCCATCAAGTTTTGCCTTCCTGATGATGTCCAGAGATGGGAGACCCAGTGACTTAGGGAGTTTTAATGAGATTTAGGTCAATAATATAACAAGGCCAGAACCCTTTCCATGTTAGCATTTTAAAATCTCTGCCCATGTGAAAGAGTCAAGTTAATTACATGAAGAATGCTTGGCAACCTCAGAATAACAGTGCAGTTTTCACTTTTGAAAGATAAAGACTCCAGCCTCTGCAAAACTGCTGTAATGTGGTGAAAACAAAACAATATAAGACACCGGGTTCAAGTTCATATTCTGGGTGACCTTGCACAAGGCACTTATTTCCCTTTCAGTTTGTCTAACATTAGAATTCACAGCAGAACTTACTCCACACTACTACTGTGGCTATTAACTGAGATCATGTAAAAATTATATAACTTTGTAAATTGTTACATATATAAATAATAGGAGTACATCAGAGTTCTGGCGTACAAAATATAATGTACTCTACCTTGAGTAAAATAATGAAGAATGGAATTGTATCTTAAAAGTGATCTGTTTTAAGTGAGCATATATATTTTATATAGCATGTATCCACATAGGCACATCAACTCAGACAAGTGCATACACCTCCCATGTCTTCTAGATGGCTTGAAAGGGAAACAACATAACCTATTTTTTTTTTTTTTTACTTAAAGCAGAAAATGAGCAAGTCTCCAAAGAAAGGGTTAAACATGCGGTTGGCTTCTGAACAGGGAGAAGCAAACTAGTCACAACAGACATGACTAGTGCTTGTGGCCAGCTAGCTTCTAAGAGCCACTGCTGTTTATAATACCTGACCCTGGGGGCTCCGAGAAGCCAAGGGGAACGCAGAGGGTAGAGGGCGCTGACTGTCACCACACACCTGTTTTCCTTCATGGTCTCCTGAGAGCATCTCACAAAGCATTTCTTACCACAAAACATTAGCACTGGGCTACAGGGAAAATAGGAGACACTGCATATCTTTGAAGTCCACATCCAGTTTTAAGAGAGTTTCCACTTCTTCAACCAGGTAAATGTTAAGGCTGAAAACACCTCAAGCACAGGTTTTTACCTAATCTGTGTGTAGGGGGTGGAGAGCAATGGTGCCAACTGAAAGAATATATTACTGGGTATACATCAATATTCCTGATAGAAAATAAATTTTAGCTTTTACTGTACCAACCTCAGTTACACGGCATAATGAGTTGGTTGAAGGTTGCGGAAGGAGAGGAAGAGAGCAGATGTTGAGATGAGGAATACATTCATCTACAGATATATTCAGCCATTTGCTCCCATGACTTAAGAAATCCAATTGGACATGTTCCTGGAGCTGCTGTCTGTGGGTTATATGTGAGTGTATGTGGGCACGCCCTGCCAGGGGCATTTTCTCTCATGCGTTCTGGAACACAGAGAGTAAAACAGGGGAAAAAAAGATGATATTGCTGGCACCAAATTGGCTCATTAAGGTGACAACACAAGAGAAGGTCCAAATCAAATGTGTTACTTAAGAGGTTAATGTGTGCTAATGATGGAGAGTGAGAGAAAAGGGGACAAAGAAAGTTTCCTAGAGGAGACAAGAGGGAAAAGGAGGAAAGAAATGATCAATGAGAAAAGAAGGAAGGAGTGCTTTGAAAGAGTTTCTACCTGACAAAACCATCCTGTAAGAAATGTATCACTGTACAGTTCTTGTGCAGCCCGACTGGACTGCACCTAGAATTTACGGACAAGTGCCAATGGGAGGTGCCCAAGGCTCTTATAATGGGGTCTGCAGGTCTCAGCTCCTTACCTGCAGGTTTGGGTGTACTGGTGTGCGAGAGGCCCCCGTTGGGCTGAGTACTGTCTCCAGTCGGAAACTCCAGGCTCATTCGTGGTTTAGGCTGATATTCCCTTCTAGGCTGAGATGACGCTTGCCTTATTCTGCATTAAAAAGAAAAGGTGGGGAGGGGGTAAGAGTATGTAGCCAATTAAGAAGCAAAAAGAAAAGCAGTGATATCCAGGAAGGCTACCAATGTGGAGCAGGGAAAATCTCAAAAGAACCCATAGCCGTCTTATCTGTAGGAGGTCTCTGCTTTCAGTGGTGTCCCTCTGGTCATACCCTCACCATCTTCAACCTTTCTCTCAATCCCTCCCTCATTTATTCAGAGCTCCCTGTGAAAATGTGCTGGGAACCCAAAAATGAATGAGACACAGTTCTTGCCCTCAAGCAGCTTATGGTGTGTAAGGGAGATGGAACATAACTGAGTACCATACACCGTGGTAAGTGCGGTTATGGAGATACATACAAAATGCTACAGGAACATGGGGGTGGGAGTGGGCAGGAGTCTACCTGCCCACAGAAAGGCTTATGGAAGGAGAGAAAACACAGCTAAGAGTCATTTCCAGATGAACAGTCCTTTCCAGAAGAACTCAAGAGCTTGAAAAGATTTGGAAGGAGGAAATACCCTGAGAAGAGTGAGCAGTTTGAGATACAAGAAGGGGAAAGAAATGAGGGAAGACAGGAGGAAAGTGGAAAGGTGTAGACAATAAATATATTCCGTACACCCCCAAGTATTCTCCATAGTCTCAGATGCATATGGAGCAAAGTGTACAGATTTGCAAGGACAGAGAGAGGTTAAGATATGGTGACTGTAGAATGATACTGACTTTGAACATATTTCAGAGAGATAAAAGGAAAATGGCCCTTCTGCTCAACAGATGTCACAAAGACATATAATACTTCTTTAGTATGTCGAAGTGCATGCTTTTAGATCTTTCTCGAGGTTTCTGAGTGTTGCACACATTTCCATGAGGGTGCATGGAGGAAAGCTGCACAATGTGATATGTGTTACAGTAAGGACCTCTGTCTAAGCTGTGCAGGTTGGGACCCTGCAACTCCAGGGAGCCCCATTCACAAGACACAGTGGGGTGCACCTGAGGAGACAGAACAGGCACACAAAAGCTGTCCCTCTGACGGTGGAGGGTTCTTACATGGTGTGAAAAGATACAGGCTTTTAAACAGATTATGCCTGCCTGGCGAACCCTGGTTACACCACGGTGTGACCCTGGGCTAGTTACTTGATCTCCCTGGGCTACCACCTTTAGGTGAAGCTAATCATACTTAGTTTACAGAGCTGTTTCATAAGACGGGTGATGATATGCCTCCAGTACGCACACAGAATATGTGCTCAGCAAATCACATCCATTATCCTCAGTAGCACCTGGCTTCCCATCTGTGGTGGCCAACACACAGTCCAAGCATTGGCTTCTCACAAACACAAGAGTACATTCAAGGGAACAAAGTAAAACAAAGCACAAGACCCACAAAAGTCAAGACAAATAATCCACAAAGTGCCTATGCAGAATCAAAACTTTTGGCACAAGTTTTACTTCAAATGGACTCCATTATTTCCATTTCTTTACCCATCATTTCATAGAAAGAAAATGGAAGTGTAAAATTCAGGAACTGTTGAGATACCTTTCTTCCAGTCTGACAGTGACTTGCTGCAGGATCTGGACCGCCTGCTTGTGGTATTCCAGCTGGGCTTGGACGAGCGCAGACAGCTGGCTCACCTGTTCGATCTGCAGGCCGATGGGGTGGGGGTGGGGGTGGGGGGGGAGACACGCCTTAGTTACCAGATTACCATCTTTAAGCAACCACTCCTGCCCCAGCACATATATGACAGAGCTGCCCTGACACACAACCCCAATCTCCAGCGCCAGGAGATATTTCAGGTTCCATATCAGTTAAGGGTAAGAAGCATCCATATGCTTGGAAACACCAATACCACAAGGAGTAGTTAGGAATCCAACTGAAGATCACACACAACTCTCACTGAAAGTCTCATTCTTAGCTACAAACTTCCAGCTGGGTTTGGCTAATTTTATTGATTTCTTATAGGAAAAAGATACATTGACCAAAGGACTCTTGGTGCCCTGTACTTTTCATGCTCTTTCAATCTATCTGCAATGTAAAGAGGCTGGGTCAATGCTTGGGTGCATTTCAGCTCCAATATTCTAGGCATCCTCAGTTACTCTTCATTTTGTGTCTCAGGCTGTGACCTAGCTGAGTATTTCCCTCCAAGTCAGCAGGGGCAATGCTATTTCCATAAGTTTTAGGGTGGAATGGGGCCCTGGGAAGGAACACTGTGATTCAGGTCACACCTTGTGCCTAGAGCATCCTTCTTTAGCAGGCAGGTGAAACACCAGTTGTTTCACATAAACAAAAACCTACACTGTGTCTCTGGGTGGTGGGAAAATCCAGGTATGTTCAACATGCCTCCCCTATCACCAGTCAGGGCAAATCAGGTAACTGATAAGCACATAAAGGCTCTGTAAACATCTTAGAAGAAGTTGGTTGGCAAATGATAGGGCCAGAGGTGGGAGTGAGCAAGAGCTTGAAAGCTGTTTAGCAGGTTTTATTACATGAGCAGTCAGAAGTCCTCATGGCTATGAGGCTGAAAGGACTCAATGGAATATAATTTCTAAAGCCACAAATAATAATTTGGTGCTCTGGAAATGTAAAAATAGCTTTAAACTTCGTTATACATGCCCCCAAATACAGTATCAACGTTTATTTATTTTTGGGACAGAGAGAGACAGAGCATGAACGGGGGAGGGGCAGAAAGAGAGGGAGACACAGAATCGGAAACAGGCTCCAGGCTCTGAGCCATCAGCCCAGAGCCTGACGCGGGGCTCGAACTCACGGACCGCGAGATCGTGACCTGGCTGAGGTCCAAATACAGTATCTATGCTACAATCATCAAACTCAATTGAAATTAGTTTTTGAAAGAAAATATCAACTTTACTTCAAAATACAGAACATCTTAACCTATACTGGGACCCTCAATTCTAAATGCATTTTAGGTGATATTCTTTTATAATCTGAAGCCAATTTGCCAAATATTTCAACAAAGTATTTTAAGCTACTGAACCTTTACATGAATCATCAGAAAGATTCTTCATCTTCTCACCATTGGTAATTCTTTAAGGTCATTAGGAGTCAAACATCTAGTTAGATCAAACCATGATAATACAGAAAAAAACCTTACCATTTCTTGATCTACTTTATTTTTTCAATTTTTTTAAAAGAAATAACTATCTGCTGAAGTTCTCACCACATAGTGTAATCAGATATGCACATTTTAAATTACATAACCCTTTAACATAATCTTGAGTCTCAACGGCAAGATTAAATTAGAAACCACAGGACAGTCACTCACATCCATCTCTAAGAGATTAAACATGCTTGACTCAGCAATTTCTTTAGATTCATCAAATTTCTCCAGAGCCTGACGGAGCTCTTCATCTGGAATCTTGCCTTGTCGTTTTTTCTTATAATCAAAGTCCAGGCGTCGACCTTCCAACTTCTTTAGATGATGCTGAAAAAGTCAAGGGCGGCAATATGCTTTGAAAGGATTCATGGAAAGGGCCTATTTTTAGTCTACTTCTCTGTCGTGCCTATTAGCCTCCAAAATAAGACAGGCTAAGTTCTAAAATATCATGTTACCAGAAAAATAAAGAAACCTGCAACAGTGGGGCAAATGTTTCCAAAGGCTTAATGTGGAGAAGCATCTTTAAAAACAATTAAGAGTAAGAAAGAAATTGTGGGAATTACCAGTGCCCTTTATTTTCTGACCTTGCTGGGCCAAAACCAAGCTGGGCATGATAGCAGCTGGGAATATGTGCATACCGCCTCACATGTGGAAAACACTGCTACATAGAACCCACAAGTTCCCATCTTCAAGAGAAACGGTAGCTTGCAAGAAGGCAGGGGGAAAACACTTCCCTTGAAAAGAAGTGAAAAAGACTGGCATTCTTGTTTTTTGAGTCCTAGAATATTAATGCTGGAAGGGACTTATCTTTGAGGAAATCAGTCTGTTAGAATCACATAAGTTGCTTATCAGAAATATGGATTACTGATCACCTGCATTAACACATCCAGGGCCAGCGTCTAGTAATCTCTATCTTAACCCTTAGTCCTTGGTGACCGATGTAGCTTTCAGGGAACCATTGATGAGTTTAAGTCTCCCATTTGGTAGGTGATTAAACCAGTGGACAAAACCTAACTCAGAAGGGACAATAGACGGGGTCTAATGCCCCACAGTGCTCTTCAATCCCTCCGTGCATCCTTCCTCACTGCCTGGCCACTCAACGTCTGCCCAACACATCTAGTGACAAAGTGGGAAAGTCGGTTCCCACTGCTACAAAGTGTCTTTTGCAAAGAGCTGCAGTGTTGCATTACTAATGGGTGGGAGGAAACGCTAAACTTCCCTGATCCTGGGCGTGTATGGAAAGAAAGGGAGGGAGATGAAAACAGAGTTGGGAGCGGCGAAGAAATGAGAAGGAAAAGAGGAAGAAAAATATCCTAGACCTTCCCTTCCACTGTATACCCTGCCTGCAATCCACACCCTGATCCAAGTTAAATGTTTGCTCCTTTGGAAGGGATAGTCTTAAAACACACTTGAACTTGTAGTCAGGGTAGAGTATTGGAGGTGCGGTTAACATTGTAGACTTAGAGTGAGTCTGCCACTTACTAACTGCAATCTTGAGCAAGTGATACGGGGGAGGAGACTAGAGAAAAAGCCGTCTAAGGGACTTCAAGCTGTAGATGACCACATTACAATAAAGTTAAATTTCAGAGAAGTTCCATAAATATTTGTTGAAGGAATGAATGAGTAAACATTATACACACAGATGGAGGCAAAGCCAGTTGAACTTTATTTATTTGGAAGAGCTCACTCTTCTCCATGTTTTATAAAGAGGATAGTTGGTTATTCTTCCTCAGTCCTAACAATCATCATGAAAATATGAAAACATGTGTTTATAGAATGATAGTATAGCTATTTACCTAAGCTAACAACGGATACATCTAACAACTGTTTTAGAGGGTGAAATCACCCCAGAAAGACATAATCAATAACACTGGATAGTATCAGGGAAGGATATTATTCTTCTGGAGAAAAAAAAAAAAAAAGCTTGAAAAACCTGAAGACTGAATGTGGAAAAGTCAAATGTAATATTCATAAGAGGCCCAATCATAATAGTGGGGCAAAAGAACTGCATTTCCGGTTAATCTCAATTTGTCTAGCTGGGTTGTTTTTATTTATTTTTTTTTTTTTAATTTTTTTTTCAACGTTTTTATTTATTTTTGAGACAGAGAGAGACAGAGTATGAATGGGGGAAGGGCAGAGAGAGAGGGAGACACAGAATCGGAAACAGGCTCCAGGCTCTGAGCCATCAGCCCAGAGCCCGACGCGGGGCTCGAACTCACGGACCGTGAGATCGTGACCTGGCTGAAGTCGGACGCTTAACCGACTGCGCCACCCAGGCGCCCCAAGCTGGGTTGTTTTTAATTCAAACCTGACCGCACACGATAAGCTTAAAACAAAAGTTTTGTGAAGAAAAAGGACACCTACATCTGCACATTCAAACTGCTTGCTTCCTAAAGGACTGGTTGCAGATACCTGAATTTCTCTCAGATCTTTGTCATGAAGGTTCTGAAGGGGGTCAATGAAGTTTTGCTTCACTTCCATGTCCAATGAGTCTTTCACCTCCGAAAGCTCCCGCATGGCCTCCCCCACTTCACCAAGGGCTGGGCCTGGAAGGGGAGAATGAGTCTGTTTCACGTTAAAGGACAAAGGTGAAAATGTATATGCAGTCATAGGGCCACCACAGGTGAAAACCCAGGGACTACTGCCTGTCTTGCGAGGACAATGGAGATGAGAGGCATTACATAATGTCCTCTAGAGAGCAGTGTGTTTCCACGTAAGACAGTCCATACAGTACAAATTCAATGCTACCAAGGGGGAAGTATCTCTTATTATGAAGAACATAACATTTTGTTTTTCCTTTAAAAAGCAATTTTGGAAGCTCTCTACCCTCCCTTGTCAGTATGGGCTTTCCCTAATAGGGAACCTGTTTAAGGCCAACGCATTTAGCAGAAGCAAATATAAGGAACAGACATTTATTTGCTGAGACTTCCCATCATGAAGAAGTGAAAACAGAAGTGTTTAGTATGGTGACTGAGTCGGACAAGAGAGGGGTGAAGGAATTCATCTGGGGTGGTAGATCTCAGAGAAAGCTTATGGGGCAAGGTATTACATCATACAGACTGTTCCCTCTGCCCTAATATTCAGTTATGTCAGACACACTCCACAGTGAGCTTCCAGGCATCTGGATGTGTTCACCAGCTACTGTAAAGATTAGGATCTCATCAGGGAAAAAGAAAATAACTAAAACCTCTACTAAGACAAATCACACTAAACATGAAATGACTCTGAAGACAAATTTTTGGCCCATGCATATAAGATGTAAAACAGAATCAAAATATAAAATGGTTTGAATAATTTCCTGCAGCGTCTTACTGGCACTAAGTCCCCACGGACAAATGAAAGAACAGAAGTGTGAGAAAGCACACATTACCAAAGTTGCAATCATCTCCAAGCTCTCTTCCAAACTTGAGCATGGCCTCTGCCAGCAGGGCTTCTGCCTGGGGATAGCCTGGCCCTTTCTCCTGGCCACGGATTTTTGACATGGTGTTGATCATGCTGAGTTTAGCTCTGGAAGCTGGAAGCAAAGAGATCACAGACGTTCACAATAGGCAATGTGATATAGCAGAGACAGGGCCGGATGGAGAATCAGGCCTTAACTGGCCCATAAACCACCTCAGCTATGAACAATTACATCTGCACCTTCCTAGCTTTGGTGTCTTCATCTGTAATATGAGGAGGCTGGCCTACAGATTGATATAAACAGACTTTTTTTTTTTTTATCACCAAACTTTCCCTTTCTTTCAATACTTACAAGGAACTTAATAGAAAAAGCAAAGCTCTTCTGGGTGGAGATCCTACCCTCATGTGGTCTCCATCTTCCTGTGTACTTTTCCAATCCTCTCTTCACTGTGGTGGCTCTGGCAGTACCTCTGTGGAGCTGGGAGGCCCCATGGGAAGCATTTTGAAAACTACTGAATTATGCATTCTCTAAGTTTTAGGATTCAAGTTTATATTTCAATTCTAAGAGTCTATGGACAAAAGTAGGAAATTGTTAATTCTTGCCATGGGAGCCTTATGCCGAATTTTACTTACACCCATTTTTTCAAAATCACTGTTCAACTAAGATTCTGATGGTAAACAGACCCATGAACAACAGAAATACTGAGTTCATTAAAAAGACTTAATCACTTCCCTAGAACATAATGGCTTCTGAGAATTAGTTTCATGCCACAAAGACAGCACTTCAATTTCTTTTTTGCTATTGTTTTTATAAAAGATGCTTAGAAGCAACTCCAGTTTTCCGGGAAGAAAAAGTTTTTCTAACACAGTGTTAAAGAGAATTTCTTGATGCTAGGATACTAGATTTCCTCAGGTTCATTATTAGAGTTGGGCTGTACATTAGTCTAGGATTGTGCCCAGGATCCCATCTGCATGGAAACCCCTGAATGAACCACTGCCAAAGACACTTCCAGCATTATCAGTGGCCGATATTTAATCTTGAGCATTTGTTTCAAATAGTTTTTAAAAAGTTTTTATTTCAATTCTAGTTAATATATAGTGTTATATTAGTTTCAGATGTACAATATAGTGATTCAACAGTTCCCTATAACATCCAGTGCTCATCACAACAAGTACACTCCTTAATCCCCATCACCTATTTAACTCACTGCCCCCTCCATCTCCCCTCTGGTAACCATTAGTTTGTTCTCTACAGTTAAGTCTGTTTCTTGGTTTGCCTCTCTTTTTTCCCCTCTACTCATTTGTTTTATTTCTTAAATTCCATCTATGAGTGTAATCATATATTTGTCTTTCTCTAACTGCCTTATTTTGCTTAGCATAATACTCTCTAGTTCCATCCACATCAATGCAAATGGCAAGATTTCATTCTCTTTTATAGCTGAATAATATTCATATATATCACATCTTTTTTTCCCTCAGATCTAGGGTTAGGGATAGGGCCAGGGTGAGGGTATGTGCCTGGTATCCTGCAGGTCAGGTCCCTACAGAGGGTGTTAGGGTTAGGGGTTAGGCTTTAGGGGTGAGGGTAGGGCTAGGGCTAGGGTTAAAGTATGTGCCTGGTAGGGGCGCCTGGGTGGCGCAGTCGGTTAAGCGTCCGACTTCAGCCAGGTCACGGTCTCTGGTGGTCCAGAGTTTCCCGCGTCGGGTTTGGGCCATGGCCTGTTTGTTTGCTTCCCGATTCTGTGTCTCCCCTCGGGCCCCTCCTGTCTATGCTCTGTCTCTCTCTGTCCCAAAAATAAATAAAAAACGTTGAAAAAAAAAAATTTTTAAAAAAGTATGTGCCTGGTATCCTGCAGTTCAGAGACCTCTCCAGAGGATAAAATCCCGAATTTATGCTAGAATGGGAATAGACATGTGAGCCATCTATTGAGCTGAGGCAAGGTGGGATTTAAGATTTTATTTTAATTCCAGATAGCTAATATACAGTGTTGTATAGTTTCAGGTGTACAATATAGCAATTTAACACTTCCATACATCACAAATAGGCTTTTATTAAATTTGGGATTCCAAGGTCAAAACTGGAGATGAGGACAGTTATCATGAGAGGACTCTTCCCAGCCTAGCCCCATGGGTATATATTATAATGAACAAGGAAGATATGGTGCTTCCCTTTAGGAAGTTTACAGTGAACTAAGGGGAGCATCTATTTTAAAACAATTAGAATGAAGTGCATATACTAAGTGCCATGGTGGGGGATTATAGCAAGTTATGAGTATATAACAGCATCACCTCAGTCTGGGGGCAGAGGGCTTTGCAAAGAAGGATTCTGGAGAGAAGTATCTTTAAGCTTAGAATCACATAGTGACTAGCAGTTAGTTGAGCTAATAGTATATGCAAAGCCTGGTGGTAACTGGAAAAAAAAAAAAAAATATATATATATATATATATATATAATTCAAATTTTCCTCACTCTGCTTTTCAAAGTATATATGTGTTAATTTTCAAAAATTGAAATTGCTACATGGTCACACATTTTTGAGGGAACATTATTATTAGAGCATATTTTCAAAGCCTTTTCCAAAATAAGTCATATCAGAGATCCCGGAAGGAACACGGACCCTGCCCTCAGTGTGCTCACAGTACAGTGAGGTGTGAAATAAACAAACAGACAGTGGCAACAAACATAAATGCAATGATGGCTAATGTGTACAAGGTACTGGGAGAGTACAGAGAAGAAGCCATAAAAGCACAAATAAAAATGAAATAAGCAAACAACAGACAATAAGAATTATAGAATGAATAGAAGGAAAGAAGATAAATGGAGGCCAATGAAATACAGTACAGAAACCACACATGGTAGTTAATCCCTTCAAATCCTGTTTTGACTACACTCTGAAGACTTACTCCTTTTTACAAAAGTTGGTATTGATTTGTGCTTATAGCTTGGTTCTGTTAAAAGTCCTCTTGTGGTTAAGTAATGACCAGAAGTAATTGAAATGGTTTAATACTGTGGCTGATTTTCAAAGTCATCATTCTTATTCTTCTACTAATTACTTAAAAATATCTTGGAATTTTTCTACATTTTCATGAAAAGGGTATTCATACCCTTTTCAATACCATACCTATTCAATACCATACCTATTAGTTTATTTCTTCAAATCCTCTAAAATATCTATTGATCCACATATTATTCTCCATACTATGAAAAGGCTGGCTTTTAAATTCATTCACAAACTCCTTAAATATTTATCAAGAATCTCTAGTTAGTAAAATTTCTGTGTTCTTGAAAATGATCATCAGACCTCTGAATTCATCATCTTTAAATATAACATAATTGTATTTAAATGATTTTTTTAAAGCTGTATTTTAAGAAACAGAAAGTAAACCTGGAAAATAAAAATTTCAGACATTAGAATTCCTATAGTATGGTCTCTTCTCTTTCAAATTATCTTTTTTGCTTTCTCATAAGTTTTCTCACAAATTTTTACAATCTCTGAGGCTACAGCCCCATATTTACTGTTCCAGCTTTGCTATCCTAGTTCAAGTTGCCCCCACTGGGTTTACTGCTGAAACAGCTTGTCAACAGTAATCCCTCCCCTGGTCCATGGGAACAGGATCCTGGTATGCTGATGGGTGTATCTCCCAGATGGGTTAGCATAACCCCGTGTACACTGTGGATGTTTAACACATGCCCACTGAAGGAAGAATAAATGAAAGAAGAGATTATCTTGAAAACTAGTAGAATATCATGGCAATGGTTTCCATAAGTAGACTCTGCTCACATCCATTGGCTCATGTGCCTAAGAGCCTATAAAAGCATAACAGAGAATGAGAAATAGAAAACTTGTTTCTTTTTGTTGAAAAATAAAAGATTTCTTTTAGGAGAGAAGGGAAGACATCTATCTGACTCAGCTTAGAATAGGCTTCTATACTGAAAACAGGACATTAGGGCCTGTCCATATAGTGAACAATGAGATTTCTTCTACCCACTTCCCCTAATTGTCGCCCAGAGAACTGGCAGCCAGGTTAGTACCTTCCAGGTAGGGAACTAGAAAATTTTTCTAGGGGGAATACGAATAATCCAAAAGAAGAGACCTACAGACACTGGTAGCTGTTAAGTACCGAATACACCAATCCAGGCTATTCAGCCTAGAAAGAAGCTATTACAGTTTATAAGCCCCCACTAACTCCCACACAGCTTTACTGCCCTACACTTAAGTGGAAAAATATAGACACCAACACCAGATTTTGAAAAAGGTTTCTAACATAAAGGAACCAAAATAAATAAGGCAATTACAGGAAACAAACCATTCTTGGAGGGAAAAATAACTATCATTAATATTCTCAGGTGTCTAAGACACTTTGCCCATGAAATAAAAAAAGAAAGAAGAATTCTTAGGGATTAAAATATAATTTAAGTTTAAATACGAACTTAAGTAAAATATAAAATTAAAAATCATGGGCACATAAAGTTGAGGCAAATTACCCAAAAAATCGTACAAAATTTTAAAACTAGAGAGAAAATCAGAAAGAAAGCATAAAATCAGGATCAGTCCAGGAGGTCTAATGACTGAATAACAGAAGTTCCAAAAAGAAAAAAACACAAAGAAATATAAGGGTAATAGATTCTTTTTAAAAGTTAAAGAAAATTTCTGAGAACTGATGAATGTGTGTTTCCTGATTGGAAGAGGCCACTGAATGCCTAACACAATGGATAAAAGGGTCCACGTGGAGGGCCATTAATAAGAAATTTCACTGAGAACACAAAGAAGTTCCTAAAACCTTTCAGAGAGGAAAAAATAGGTTATATACAAATATCAAGAATTAGAAGGTAATTGAACATGAGAATATCATGAAAAACATGAGAAGTTTCCACATAAACAATGTAGTGATGACTAAAAATTTCTTAAATAATATATAATTCTATATTCAAATTATCAATGAACCATGAAGGTAGAATGATGACATTTTCAGACACACAAAGAAGGATTCTGATCATTTTTCTTCCCAAGCTAATGGAAGAGGCAGTCTACCAAAATGAAGGTGTAACTCAAGAAAAGGGACAGTACAGAATCTAAAAAAAGAGATCCAATACAAGGAAAGATGTAAACATGA